AATAAAAAAAAAAATTGTTCCCTTGGCAGGGTTCGAACTCGCAACTAACCGAATCACTTGCCGCCGCCTCTACTCAAGAGGCACACCAATAATTGAGTTTTAATGAGAAAAAAACCAATTAAAATAACAGCACAGAAAACAATACAATCGCAATTGCAATGCTGTTGATAGAATAAAAAACAGACGCGCATGAATGTGTGTGCGTACATGTATAAAGATGCGCTAGCTGCTGCTAACACGTGCGCACATAACTTTAGTGTTTCTTAACCGAACTTAATGAAATTTTGGACAGTACATCTTATTGTGGAATAGAATAAAGAATATTTGTGTATTGTCAAAAATTCAATTGCATATAAACTGTGGCTTAAATTGATGGGCAATACAAGCTGGATTAAGTTGACTTATAGCTTTGCGGTGGTAACGGGGAGGTGGCGATAGGTATAAAATTAAAAAAACTTGATAAATATATACTATTCTAGAGGGTACATGTCAAGTTTGGTGATTCCAGCTCATAGCATTTGCCGAAATTGCTCAAAAAACAGGATTTCGATATCGATTTTTATCGATTACTTGGAAACGGGGCAAGTAATCGAATATGGGAAACAAACTCGATCTGCGCGGGCATTAGGAGGACCTACAGCTCAAATTTCAAGTCTCTAGCTCTTATAGGTTCTGATATCCTTGCGTTCATACATACGGACGGACGGACAGACAGACAGACGGACATGGCTAGATCGACTCGGCTATTGATGCTGATCAAGAATATATATACTTTATGGTGTGGGAGATGCTTCCTTCTGCCTGTTACATACATTTGCACAAATACAATATACCCTGTTTACCCATTTTTAATGGGTTCAGGGTATAAAAAATAAAGTTGTCAAGGCAGGGTTCGAAATCGCAACTAGCACTACTTGCCGCCGCTTCTATCCAACAGCCACACCAATTATTGAGTCTAGATGAGAAAAAAAACGAATTAAAATAGCAGCACAGAAAACAATACACTCGCAATAGCAATGCTGTTTATCGAAATCGATAAAGACGCTCATGAATGTGTGCGTGTACATGTATATACAAATTCTTGCAACACATTGGCAGCCGAAACACATTTTGTGATTCTTAACCGATCTTAATGAAATTTTCACTTGATTTATAGCTTTGTGGTTGTAGCGGGGAGGTGGTGGTAGGTAAAAAATGAAAGATACTTGATATATATATACTATTCTAGAAGCTACATGTCAAGTTTGGTGACTCTAGCTCTTATTATTTACCAAAATTGCTCAAAAAAGAGGATTTTGATATCGATTTTTATCGATTACTTGGAAACGGGGCAAGTTATCTAATATCGGAAACAAACTCGATCTGCGCAAGTACTAGGAGGACCTACAGCTAAAATTTCAAGCTCTTATAGGTTCTCAGATCCTTGCGTTCATACGGACAGACGGACGGACGGATGGACAAACAGACGGGCATGGCTAGATCGACTCGGCTGTTGATGCTGATCAAGAATATGTATACTTTATGGTGTCGGAGATGCTTCCTTCTGCCTATTACATACATTTGCACAAATACATTATACCCTTTTTACCCATTTTCAATGGGTTCTGGGTATAAAAACAAAATTTGTATCGAAACAAAAAAAAATCAAATTTCACGGTTAAACACATGGAATAGGCAGAGACAATAAAAGCAGTACTTATATTGTCTTTGGTATAAGCACTTAAAACCCAATTCACTGCACATATATGATTATACTAGCGGGTATAACCCGGCCTTGCCCGTGGCACGTATGTTATAAAATCAATGTTCTCAAACAAATTTGAAATGATTTTGAAACTGATCGGACGGTAAACAAATAACTTTCATACAAACGTTTTCCGCCAATTTACCACTGTTGCGAGTGGAATTTCCCAAATCGCCTAAACACGTATTCATTAATTTTTTATGTAGAGCTTTGAAAATAATTTTGAAGCAAATCGGACACAATTTAAAACTTCGCACAAAAATCTTTAAATCGCATTCCCTCCGAAGAGGTTTGAATTCTGCGAAAAGTGTGAAACACGTATCAAATGATTTTTCTTATAGATCTCTGGAAATGAATTTCAGCGCGAAACGTCACTCACCAAATCTTTGACCTCCATTTCCACCAAGGAGGAACGGATTTTCCTAAAAGTGCGAAACACCCCTTAAATGAATTTGAACAAAGATCCTCGAAAATAGGTTTGAGCCCGATCGGATGGTAAACAAAAAAGTTACATACAAACGTTTTTCGCGATTTTTCCACACTTGCGGGTGGAATTTCCCGAAACCCCGTCTTAACGTGCACCTACATCACATAAGGTAGCTACAGTGAAAATTTCAGCTTCCTAGCTCTTACGGTTTGGGCTGTGCGTTGATCACCAATCAGTCAGTCAGTCAGTCAGTCAGGACAAACAGTTTTATATATAAAGATGATTATATGAACAAGACCCCTCAAAATAACTTGGCCATACTAAACTAACCCAAAAACACAATTTATAGAACAATATAGCACTCACAAGCATCTTCATGTCATAACAATAGAACAGTTGACTTGAAACATATACTAAAATCCTTTCCCACCCTAACCAAACATTATAAAATATCTATAAAGATCTACTTGCTAACCGTAAATAAGTGTTAATACTTCTATCATGCAAAATAAGTGCCTTCTATTATCTATCTGAAGGCCCTAACAGCCATTACTGGAATTCACTTATCATTTTGTTTTTAACTCTATGATTAGTTTCTATTAATAAATAAATATGTTCTTTACGGGGTCGGAGATGCTTCGTTCTTCCTTCTATATACATTTGCACAAAAACATTATTCCCTTTTTAGCCATTTTCAATGGGTTCAGGCTGTAACAAAAGGGTTCAAGATAAAACCAATTATTTATTTATTTTTGATTATACATATTTTTGAATACTTATACATATATATAGGTACGAATGTATATAAATATATCTAAGCAAAAAATATAAAAAAGAAATAAATATATGTTTTTATCTTGAACCCTTCGAGCCTTGCTAGGATAGGGGTATATTCTCGTTTTTCATTACAGCTGTTAAATTATCTTTCCATATACGACAATTTTACTCGTTTGGTCTCCCATCTGTTTTCCTATGCAGCATTGTAATATGAGTTAATCACCATTGGCATTTACTAATTAGACGCATAAGCTCAATATACAGCAACTTACAAATTGGCAACAGCTGCACATTATGGTTACAGGAACTGAACCAGGCCAAGAAAAATATAACGAAGCAAAAGGCAGGAAAACAATAGCTGAGAGAAATTTGCTGCCATTTGTTGACATGCCGCCAGTGAAGGCTTTACTTTACTGGAAGCCATTATCTGTTATGGAGTGGGCAGTAAAATCAATAAAGATCATTTAATACAAGGAAAGTCGAAGAAAGCAACCAAAGCAGCAAACGAGCAGCTGAAAGGACAATCAGTTCCAGCTGCCTGAACACATAGCCAGAATGCATCTGCAAATGGCTCGGCAAATTAGCAGGCCACAAAAGCGTATCAAGGGGTACATTTTAATCTTTAACCTTTTACTTTGTTTACGCATCTTCCGCCGTCTTTCACTCAGCATGCGGTTTTACATTTTTTTAATAAATGGTCTGTAACTGAGCGAAGCTCACTTAGCTAGTATATGCCCATTAACTAGACCTTTGTTTATTACAAAGAATAAGTAAGAGGCTTTAGTAGAGAGTTCCCGATTAGGGGACACCCGGAACCCCTTTCTGTCAAAATCAAACATAGCTCAACTCAAAACAGAAAAGAGAAAAAAAGGCTATCTTCGGCACGCCGAAGATTAAATATCCTTGCAGACCCAACCTTTTCATAATGCTCATAGTGCTTTGTCCGTATCTAAGAAGCACATGGAAAATAGTTAATGCCGAGAATGGTTAAGATATCATGAACAATAAAAACGTTTTCCATACAACATTAAATTAGATTTTGCATAAATGTAGGGAACATAGTGAAACTTATAAATGGCGAGTTTGGTTAAGATATCTTAAAAAACCAAAAAGTTTTCTATACAACTTATTTTTCGACCGATCGTTCCTATGGCAGCTATATGATATAGTGGGCCGATGTTGATAGCATTTTCCATATATATGAGGAGCATAGTAAAACTAATAAATACCGTGTTTGGTCAAGATATCTTGATCAACAAAAAAGTTGTTAACACAAGAAAATACTTTTCGTCCTATCGTTCCTTTGGCAGCTATATGATATAGTGTTTAGCTTGAGCTTTACACACAGACACAAATGTGTGTGAATGGGCAGATCATGGGCGCAAAAGAAAATTTCATTACTCGCACGCGTCTGACGCGCGCCCTTTTTTTTATGATGTTAAGTTTGAATTGATGAATGAGTGTTGACCCCTTATTACCTGCAGCAGCCCGTTGGGCCGAAAGGGTAAACTTTTGGCAAGACACATATGTGTCTGTGTGTGTGTGTATAGAGCTCGAAATTCAGAAATCCCAAAATATTGTCAAATTTAAATCGGACAGGCAGGCAGGGTCCAACAGGCACACAAGCGCATAAATGCTTTTATTCATATACAAAATATGCAAGTATGCGTGAATAGCATTTCCAAAAACTTTTAAATGCATACATGCCAACGCTAAGGTACCCTTTTCAACAATATCGAGCTAAAATGCAAGAAATTCGCATCGACGTGGCAAACCCTTTCATTTTTTCATATTACTCCATTCAAAAGGGAAGATATTTGAGAAAAATTGAATTTGTGGGCAATTTTGCTTGTGCGAACACATACTCACACAAACATTTAAACGGTACCTAGACATAAAGAGAGCATTGAGAGCACTGAGAGTAAGTGCGAGCGAGATAAACATAAGCAGCGATGCCGTTCTATCGCACAAATCATGTGAAAGAGAGTAAGCCAAAGCAGTTTCCTGTGAAGCAACAATCCGACTGTCCGTCATTCAGTCGTTTTAACTTACCTCTGCCGGAAATGTGTAGCCATCAACACTGTGCTCGGAGCCGAATTGATCGTTAAGTCCGTAGTGTACGTGTATCTCATGGAAACGATAACGATAAGAAAGTGGACCGCCAGATATATTCACTGGTGTCTGCATGCCATCGTAATTCGCCACAGTTTCGTTACCGGCTGTAAAAATTACACTGTGACCAGTATTGCTTATAATTCCACTTATCTGTTGGGGAAGGAAAAATATATTTTTAAATTGAGGGGAAAAATACGTATCATTTATGGGATTTGTGTAAAATTTGTATAAAGTAAAAGGATTCCGGTAAATTGCTTCTTTAGTTATTAAAAAAATGGTATATATAGATAAGAGTTGAACCTGAATGACTGACTACCTGGAATGTGACCAACGCACATCGCAACCCATAAGAGTACTAATTATTAAATTGTTAGATACTCAATGGCAATCGCTATAGTGCACATAGACAATTTAGTTTTGTGTTGCAGCCCAAGCCGTAAGAGCTACCATACTCAACTTTTTACTAAAGGTTTCATTTGGGTTGAAAACACTCGGTGTTATGGCAATATTGACCTTCAAGTTGGGCCAAAATATGGAATTGATGATTTGTTATTAATCACCAAGAAAGTATATATATTTTCACGAGAACCCCGAGGCGCAGTCGTATAGCGTAGGATACGAAGCACAATAACGAATACAAATTAGGAGTACAGACCACGGCTACTTGCTTAACAGCCAACAGACAATACCGTGAACTGCTTATCGTATCAAAGAAGATCCGAAATGGATCATTAGGCTGGTTGCAATATGAGCCGGTTCGAGGTTTTCGAAAATAAATGAAACAAGTTGTTTTTCTCTCTTTTCAAATACATTTCAGTCTCTGTGGCAGTCTTCTCATTCAGTGGGACCAACATGCTCCTTTGCTAACTCGCCGTCACACAAGGTGTACAAATAAAAGGATATCTTCGGCCTAAGTTTTAATACTCTTACAGACATTCCTTTTTTTGAGATATGTGAGAATAGTAATGCTGGTAAATGCTGAGTTTGATAAAAATGTCTTCGAAATCAGAATATTTTGCCATATAAAAACCTACTTTTTGACCGATCTTTCTTATGGCAGCTAAATGATATAGTGGTGTTGTAGTAGGAGATCTTATTGTGCAATATAATTTTTAAAGTTGTAGGAATTGGTTTCTTTATTTGATTTATAGCTATGGAGTGGAGACGAAGCGGTCGCTTGCTCAAGCTTAGCACTATTTTACCTATCTATTGGACACCTTTTTAAGAGATATACCAGCGTTTTTAAACATAAATTAATTGATAAATAAATTCAGAATTTGGAAAAGTTATCTTCTTATCAGATCCGACTTTTCAATCAATCGTTCCTATGGCAGCTATATTATATTGTGGGCTGATGTTCATAGGATTTTGCATATTTGTAGGGAGCATAGAAAAACTTATAACTGCCGAGTTTGGGTAAGATATCTTGATAAACAAAAAAGTTTGGTATACATAAACATACTTCTCGACCGATAGTTCCTATGAGAGCTTTATGATATAGTGATTCGATGTTGCCGGCTCCGACATATGTACTGACTGCAACAGAAAGACGGTCATATGGCTTTAAAACTGAGAGACTAGTTCGTATAGGAACAGACAGAAGGACATGGATGCATCAACTCGGCTGTTGATGAGTCAGACATTTCATGACACAAGCAAAATACCGTTTACAAGGGTCCAAACAAAAAACAAAAAATAAGGATAGCCCAAAAAACCAGCTGCAGCTGGTGTTAATATGTATGTATGTACATATGTGTGTAAAGTATGCATGCATTAACAAGCATAAATGCATTTTCAAATTAAATCGAATAAATTCGTATTTCTGGAAAACTTTAGCTGATATAATCGATACTTTTTATACCCTGAACCCATTAAAAATGGGTAAAAACGGTAGAGTGTATTTTGTGCAAATGTATGTAACAGACAGAAGTAAATATTTCCGACCCCATTAAGTATATATGTTCTTGATCCTTATTAACAGCCGAGTCAATATGACTATATCCGTCTATCTGTTTCTATGCAAACTAGTCCCTCAGTTTTAAAGCTATCGTCATGAAACTTTGCAGAAGTGCCTCTTTCTATTGCACGCAGATCAGACCCCTATATTATATAGCTGCCATAGGAACGATCGGTCGTGAACTAAGTTGTTGAATGGAAAACTTTTTTGTTTTTTAAGACATCTTAACCATAATCGGCATTAACTATTTTCCCTGTGCTTCTTAAATACGGGCAAAGCACTATGAGCATTATGAATAGGTTGGGTCTGCAAGGGTATTTAATCTTCGGCGTGCCGAAGATAGCCCTTCTTACTCGTTTTTATTACTCTTAAGGCAAACGGCCAAAGAGAATATAAACACTAAGGTGAGTAACGCCTATACATCTAAATGCGACGAAAAAATTTATATATGTATATATATATATATATACAATCGATCGGTTTCAAACTCATTTTCAAAGATCTTTGAGAGAATTTATTTTATATATTATATAATTGTATACTAGCGGGTATATCCCGGCCTTACCCGTGGCACGTATAGAGTAAATGTTCTCAAAAAGCTTTAAAAATGATTTTGAAACTGATCGGACGGTAAACAAACAACTTTCACACAAACGATTTCCGCCAATTATTACTGTTGCGGGTGGTATTTCCCAAATCGCTGAAACACGTACTCATTAAGTTTTTATCAAGAGCTTTGAAAATAAGCAAATTGGAAAAAAATAAAACTTCAACAAAAAAATCTTTGAATTGCACTTTCCACCGAAGAAGTTTGGATTTGGGAAAAATGTGAAACACGTCTCAAATGATTTTTAATGTAGATTCTTGGAAATGAATTTGAGGGCGAAAGGTCACCCACCAAATCTTTGAACCCCATTTCCACCAAGGAGGAATGCATTTTTGGAAAAGTGTGAAACACCCCTCAACTGAATTTGAACAAAGATTTTTGAAAATGAGTTTTAGGTCGATCGGATGGTAAGCAAAAAAAGTTTCATTCAAACATTTGTCGCTAATTACCCACTGTAGTGGGTGGAATTTCCAAAATCGCTGAAACACGTATTTATTAAGTATTTATGTAGAGTTTTGAAAATAATTTTAAAGCATATCGGACAAAACTTAAAACTTCGCCCAAAAAATCTTTAAATCGCATTCCCCCCGAAGAAGTTTGAATTCTGCGAAAAGTGTGAAACACGTTTCAAATGATTTTTCATATAGATCCTAGGGAATGAATTTGGGCACAAAACGTCACCCACCATATTTGACCTCCATATTTGTGTTCTTGTGACTGCAGTTAAATTCGCATGCAAAATATGATCTATGTTCAGAGCTATCCCAAAAGCTACACCTCTTGGATGGAAAATGCGGGCCAAAGGTTGTATTGATGAGAGTTTATTTTTCTGCTTCAAGATTAATACGACGGGACCATAATGGGAGAAAACGACACGCCAGCTGACTGTCTTTTCGCTCTCCAAACAGTGCCAAACAGTTCAACCTTAGTGCGATTTACGCGCCGCTGACATCACTAAGTCGGTGAATTTGACAACTTGATAAACTTGTAACTTGTAAAAGGCCGAAAACTATCTTAAAAGTGCGTGATGTTTAGCTGCAGAGTGCCGCAATGATATAACTGCCGACGCGGGCTTATTGTAGCTATTGCAAAAGCAATATAACGGCCAAAATTATCAGATTTAAAGGCACACAAACATTTAAGTATGGTTGGTGCACAAACATGTACATATGTATGGATTCCAACGCCATGGAAAGCGTAGCGTTGACTACAAGCACTTACGAATCCTATGTCGATGAAAATATATACTTTAATTTAAATAAATATATTAAATAAATTTATTAAATAAATTAAATAGTAGAACATTTATGTTTAGTTGACTATATATGTAGCTGTTATAAAATGTTTTAAATTTGTAAATTAATTTTATTTTAATACCCTTACTTTTATTGAACAAATTAAACAAAAACACTACTAAATTTGCAGCTTTAGGCTCAGCTTTTTTTGTACAGCATTTAACTGTCTCCCCCTTTTTAAAGCAGATCTAGCACTTTTGGTTGCTCAATAAATGCCAACATGACGAACGAATGCCGAAGTCGCGGCTTGTTGCTGCTGCACGAGCAACGTGCCTGCCTTCAACAAAGCAGGTTAACGATGGTTCTCGTTGCTACGTTCTCGCAGTACACTGCGCGAAAAAATCAACAGCCAATTGATTTTACTTTTATTTTGGTTACGATGTATGCTGGACGTTCTTCCCAGCGGACCAAACTGTCGCAAATGATATCGCAAACTGGTGAAATGCGAGACTTTACCCGACAAAACTCGCGCAATCGCATCGGAAAACGATAGCAATATGAATCATATGTCGTTCAGTTTGTGGCAGTCAAAGTTTCATTTACGATTGTCGCCAGAAATACGGCTAGCGAGCCTTTTGTGATATGTTTTGCGAGCCTTTTCTGATATTTCTAACGAGTCTTATAAAATATTTTCTGTGATACGTTTTTGATTAAAAAAAATATTTTTTTAAGCAGGTAGCTATATTAAAAAAGTATCTTAAGAGATATGCAAACTGCTCGCATGAAATATGGTTTGCGAAACTTTTTTTTGTTTAATGCCCATTTTGTTCCCATAAAAATGTTGGTTAATGTTTTTTTTAATATTCATTTTCAATTCAAATTTTATTTAAAAAATAATTAACATTCTATTTGATTTAAATTTAAAATTCATTTCTTTGGCAATCTTATAATTATAATAAAAGTTAATACATAAATAAATTAGTTTAATTTAAAACTATTAATGAAAGAAAAAAACTATATATGTATGTTTATTTTAATTTTATTTTCTCCGTCCCACGCCAGGAGCATTGTCTTGCAACATCATCCGCTATTATCTGGCGCCAGGAGCTCCTAATGAATTTGTCGTACGTCTTTTCAGCACTTTCGGGGCAATAGGGAATAGTTTAGTTATTAATAAACACTTGTTAATTACTTACCTCCCTACAGAAATCCAATTTTCACTGTTCACTTAACCCACGTGTTTGCTCGCTTCGGCGGAGAATAGAAAAGAGAACAAAGCAATTTTTCAACCCCCAAAATACACATATTTTTCGGGCTGAGTAGGAAACAACAACAAAGACAACACAGCATCCGAATGCCGCGTCATTTTTACTCTCTCTCTCTCTTGACGATGTTGCACTCTCTGAGCACGATTAATATTTGAAACAAAAACAACACACTATTCTCTCTACTGTGCACGCATTTTTATCGCAAAGATCTCACTGCCACGCTCGTGTGCGAGTGTTTTGCGATAAAAATGTATCCCACTCGTTTTCTGCTCACATACGAGCTCATTTGTGAGCATTTTGCGAGACTCTCGCTAAAGGCTCGCATGTTGGTCCGCTGGGGAGTGCACACACTTGTGTTTGTATGTATGAATTATGCATGCACAAGGACATCAATAATAAAACGAGAAGAAAGGGCGATCTTCGGCACGCCGAACATTTAATACCCATGCAGACCCAACCTTATCATAATGCTCATAGTGTTTTGCCCGTATCTAAGAAGCACAGAAAATAGTTAATGCCGAGTATGGTTAAGATATCTTGAAAAACAAAAAAGTTTTCCATACAACAACTTAGTTTCGACTGATCGTTCCTATGGCAGCTATATGATATAGTGTTCCGATCTTAATAGGATTTTGCATATATATGTGGAGCATAGAAAAACTAATAAATGCCGAGTTTGAACAAGATATCTTTATAAACAAAAATATTTTTCAAACAAGAACCTACTTTTCGACCGATCGTTCCTATGGCAGCTATATGATAAAGTGGTCCGATACAGCTGGTTTTGACATACATATGAACTGCGTGCAACAGAAAGAGGGATTTCTGCGAAGTTTCATAAAGATAGCTTTAAAACCGAGAGACAAGTTCGCATAGAAACAGACAGACGGACATGGCTATATCGACTCGGCTATTGATCCTGATCAAGAATATATATACTTTATGGGGTCGGAGATGTCTCCTTCTATGCGTTAAACATTTCACGACTAAATTATAATACCCTCTGCAAGGGTATAACAATATTAAACAAGTAAGAGGTTCTAGTCGGGAGCTCCCAGCTAGGGGATACCGTGAACCCTCTTATTCCAACACAGCTCGCATAACGCGCTCGTTTACTTTAGAAATAATAAAGATAAATTTAAAAAAAAACTCGCAACTGACCGCGTTACTTGCTGCCGCCTCTACTCAACAGCCACACCAGCTACAAAAAAAAATAGTCTCCTCGATTGGGTTCGAACTCGCATCAACCACACTTCTCGCCGCCGCCTCTATCCAATAGCCACACCAATTATTAAGTCTCAATGTGACAAAAACGAATTAAAATAGCAGTACAGAAAACAATACAATCGCAATTGCAATGCTGTTGAAAGAATTCTAAGCAGACGCGCATGAATGTGTGTGTACATGAATACAGAAATTTTTGGAATTTTCGCTTGTTGCCGCTGAGAAAAGTCAAAACACGTTTTCTTTAATCATTTCTGTGTTTTTTAACCGATCTTGATGATCTTTTTAACCGAATAATAAATTGGATTATTTACTTGATTTATACCTATAAGATAGTAGGGGGGAGGTGGCGATAAGTATAAAATGAAAGATACTTGATATATACATACTATTATAGAAGATATTTATCAAGTTTGGTGACTCTAGCTCTTATAACTTACGAGATTTGCTCAAAAAACAGGATTACTTGGAAACGGGGCAAGTTATCGAATACCGGAAACAAACTCGATCAGCGCGGGCACTAGGAGGACCTACAGTAAGTATCTAGCTCTTATAGGTTCTGAGATCCTTGCGTTCATACATACGGACGGACAGACGGACTATATATACCAGACCATGATAAATACCAAATTTGTATTCACATATTAACATCTGTTGTGTACTGAGGTTGGCTCTGAAGCCTATGAAGCCTATTAATTATATTATTTTTATTTCCCAACTAATATAATTTCATAGAATAAATTATAATAATGAATTAAATTTATATATTTAAATATGCACGATAACATGTATTTAAATGAGGTTCTTGCAGGTCAGATAGGCTAAGATTTAATTTTCTTACACTGTTATTTAATATTGTACGACAATTATCACGCGGTCAAAAATAAACATATTAAAATAAATGATCTACATATTGGTACAGCCAGACAACACAAATGCCCTAATAATGTAAAGTGGTGAAATGGCAATAAACAATAATAAGCAATAAAGAAAAGGAAAGAAAACTCCGCTCACACCTGACGACAGTTCAACAAGCCAACCACGAATACATAAATACACTGGCTCGCGACAAACACACCCCAATAATAATAAATTGTTTTGCGCTTCTTCTGCTCCTTCACACACACATGCCATACAAAAATCCCAAAAACTGCAAATCTAATTAAATTTATATACAGCCACACAAACGAATTAATGCTTGTACATGTATGGATACAAACTTGTGAAATTATGCTTCCACTCGTCCCTTTAAAAAGGATTTGTGCGCAATGTTGCTGGTGCGGACACTTACGCACCCAAATTTACTCAAACGATCTTAAGATGTTAATGTGAGAGAATTGAAAGCACTCAGAGTAAGCGAAATCAGTTTCCTGTAGTGGGAGCGAAACACAAAAATTAGCGATGCCGATCTACCAGACAAATATGAGTAGTCTCTAACTCTCTTGCTACCTTAGCAAGTGAGCGCGTTTTGGACCCGGACAAAAACGAAGTCGTTGGGGGACCTGGTCCACAGAGAATGGGTACCTTTTTATACCCTGAACCCATTGAAAATGGGTAAAAAGGGTATAATGTATTTGTGCAAATGTATGTAACAGGCAGAAGGAAGCATCTCCGACCCCATAAAGTATATATATTCTTAATCAGCATCAATAGCCGAGTCGACCTAGCCATGTCCGTCTGTCTGTCCGTTCGTCCGTCTGTCCGTTTCCAAGTAATCGATAAAAATCGATAGCGAAATCCTGTTATTTGAGCAATTTCAGCAAATAATATGAGCTACAGTCACCAAACTTGACATGTAGCTTCTAGAATAGTATATATGTATATATATCAAGTATTTTTCATTTTATACCTATCGCCTGTCGGAAGAAGAGGGTTCAGGGTATCCCCTAGTCTGGAGCTCCCGACTAGAACCTCTTACTTGTTTACTTCTGTAGTTTTCGAAACCATCCAGTAATGTGCATACATAAATATGTGTTATCGTTTCTGCTCGCCCGCAGCACACTGACTTGAATGATCAAGTTTAATAATACTGCGTCGACGGTGGGAGTGACTTTACTTGGAACAGCAGATCTTTATGCCCCAAATGATCAAATTCTGGATGGATGCCGGAAAAATAGCAGGTTTTACGCTGCCAAAAAATACCATTTTAAATAGCTTAGAAAATGTCTGTAGAGCAATATGATGCTACAATGCTCTTCCATGTTTCGTAATTATCATAATCATAGCGCAACTTCGCACAGTGAGGAAGTGGCATATGCAAGCCATGGCCTTGTAACGCTAATATGAAATTTAGATAGATATTTACATATACCTCACCAGATCCCGAGCATAGTGTTTGAAAACAAGCAGAGGTGGTTGCTGGGGAAAGGATGTTTGTATTCGCATCTATTCTGAACTCAACGGCCAGTGGAATGTGATGGGCATTAAGATCCATCCCAACTCATATGCCAAGACAGTCTGGTCATATTGCGTATGAATGCCGTAAGAGTGGTGTATTCTTAGAGGCTGAAGCCCCTCACGCAGTTCACAATGGCAATACCACGATACATATCATGTGTAGATAGACAAAGCTGGAGCTGTCCCTGGTAATGATCATGTTGATTAACATGTACATAGCTCAAGATGTTGATGTTGTTGAAGAGATGGCTGCAGATGATGCTTTTGTTGGTAGTAGCTGTGCTAGGTAATGTCACTGCTGTTTATGCAGCTGATGATTGTGATGTTACAGGTTCAGTTTCCGTTTTGGTAACTAATGCTATTAATGTGGTTCAGGTTGCTGCTTCCGATATTGTTGTTGCGGTCTATGCATACTTCATCTTTTGCTATTGAGTATTCAAAAATATAACAAGTACTCAACGCCATTTTTGATAGCATTCCCCTTTTTTCCAAGATTGATAAATAGTAATTTATTTCTCTTTTTAAGAGCGGAATCGGAAATTATTTTACTTCTAAGATACAGAGTCCATACATTTGAATATTGAAAAACAACGTGTTTAAAAAAAAGAGCCCTGCGATATTGATTTTATATTTGAGCTCTTAAATGTTTATAACAATCAGACCATACAGTCGAAATATTATGAAAAAGCATTCTCTATTGGGCTGTGCTACCGATAATGAGTACAGTCGCCGTTTTGTGCTTTTACATTTAAAAATTGTTATGTAAACATCAAAATGCTTTACAATTTAAGTCAAAAATGTTTACTGTATAAACTTACCCTGTGCTTGTCAATATGCATAAGACGAAGATTCGGATCAAATAACAATCGCTGCGGCTCTAGGTTCACCGGAGACTGACGACGTCCCTTGTTACAGAGTGACCATTCCGGATTGATGAGACCCCAAAAAGCGGGACCTGTAATAAAGAAATAAATATGGTCCACATTAGTACAAAATTTTTTCTTGTATTATATTCCAAGTCGACATAGGCGCCTTACAGTCTAGCTAATTTTTTATTGGATCATACAATTAAATTCGACTGGCATGTTACGACCGCGGTCGATTGGGCTAGGACTTTTCTGATTTCCATCCAGAGGCGGTTCAAAGTGTTTGACAATTTGTGTAAGACAATCCCACTCTTTACCCGTCTCTCTGGGCTGTCCTTGACTCCACTCCACTGGATTGATTACCTTAACATGTTCTGTCCCTACTACACATTAACTGTTGTCCAACTAGCACTGCCTTAAATAGACGATTACGGATTCTCTTCGATGATATAAATAGTCATTTGGTTGGAAAGTGCGAAATTGTACGTTGCATCGGGGCTCACACGAAAAAATAAGAATATATTCGGCACGCCGAAGATTTAATACCCTTGTAGACATCCACTCGCAACAGTGGTAAATTGGCGGAAAACAGTTGTATGAAATTTTTTTTTTTACGATCCGATCGGCCCCAAACTTATTTTCAAAGATATTTGTTCAAATTCATTTGAGGGGTGCTTCACACTTTTCGAAAAATCCGTTCCACCTTGGTGGAAATGGAGGTCAAAGATTAGGTGGGTGACGTTTCGCGCTCATATTCGTTTCCAAAGATTTATAAGAAAAATCATTTGAGACGTGTTACACACTTCTCGCAGAATTCAAATTTCTTCGGGGGGAATGCGATTTAAAGATATTTTTGGCGAAGTTTTAAGTTCTGTCCGATTTGCTTCAAACTTTTTTTCATAAGAACTTTATAAATACGTATTTCAGCGATTTGGGAAATTCCATCCGAAACAGTGGTAAATTGGCGGAGGACGATTGTATGAATAATTGTATTGAATAATTAGGAAGACACTCGTTTTGACGACCATTAATAAATAAATAAATAAAAAAATAAATAAATAAATCAACAAATAAATAAATCAACCCACAGCCCAAAACGTAAGAGCTAGGAAGCTGCAATTTTCACTGTAGTTACCTTATGTGACCCCCATTTCCACCAAGGAGGGATGGATTTCCCAAATAGTGCGAAACACCCTATTACGGGGCGCAGTGAAAATAGCTGTTGTCACTAAGTCCTACTGGGTCTCGCATTTTGTAAGTAGCGCTCGCTTCATACACTGGAAGCGCACCGTTAGAGTTAGTTTGTACATAAAAAGTCGAAGCTGCACAATCTGCCTTTTCGACGAGGTTCATTTTCGTTTTGTGCTTGCAGCTGAGCAGAAGGGAAAGAGAACAGAAGCGCGTACGGAGCACGAATGTAAGTCTCATAATAATATAAAATATAGGTTGTTAAATAATGAAAAGATAATAAAGATTTTAGCGTATCGTATCGTGTCGTATCGAATCATATCATATCGTATCGCATCATACGAATCGAATTAAATCGAATCGTACGGCGTGCAACGAACCCAAAGAAATAGTTTTTTCTTTCGACGTTAGAAATCCCTGCCAAATACGCGCCCGCACGAGTCTCGGTGCCAACATTCTGAAATATTCTCTGCAGCAGAGAGTGTCTGAAGGATTTTCTTTATCTTTATCATCTTTATCAGCAATTATGAGCGATCCACAGAGATGTGGATTCAGCAACGAGGAAAATCTCATCAGGCATCAGAAGTGCCTCAGAGGGCAAGCCCTGGATGCGGTGCGTGGAAAACTTATGATCCCAGCTACAGTCCCGTATGCTATAGGCACATTGCGAATGTTGTATGGCAGCTCTGAAATAGTACATGATGCGCTGCAGCAAAAGCTACGAGAGGAACCAGCAATAAAATCGGACAACTTGAACACTGTTATCCGACTGGCCTTAGCTGTCCAAAACTATTGCGCAACGATAGCTGCCATTGGTATGCACGAATATCTTTACGATCCCGCGCTGCTAAACGAGCTTGTTGCTAAGATGCCCAGCAATATGAAATTGGACTGGGGCCGGCATCGAATGTCAAATGATGGTAGCAGTTTGGCCACCTTTGATAACTGGCTGTTTAATGTGGCAATGTGCGCCACTATGGTCACGCCCACTAGAGAGCGAATTTTTGTGCACAACACAGCCCTGAGGGTTCTCAGCAACAACTTTCTCAACAGGAACAGGAGAGGGTTTCATGTGCGAATTGCGCCGGTAACCACCGTCTATCAGATTGCGACGACTTTAGATCCATGGGTACAAATCAGCTGTGGGAACTTGTTAAGGAAAAGCGGCTCTGTTTTGCTGCTTTATGCGACATCGTGCACATCAATGTAAATCAAAGAAGAAATGTCATGTAGATGGTTGCGAGTCAACGCACCATGTGCTGCTACATACGCCTACCATGAGTGATAGTAAAGACGAGCACACGGGCCAAGGTAGCAACAACCGGATAAAGGCACGGCAGCTCCGCAAGTAAGACACTGTTTCGATATGTTCTAAACACGCTCTATAGTAAATCAAAAAGCGTGCGCACATATGCATTAGTGGATGAAGGAGCTGAGTGTACGCTTAAAAAAGAGCGGTTGCAGACGAGCTGCAACCCAGCTGTGTCTTAAATGGACTGGTGACATAACCAAGAAGCCCGAGGCTATGTCTGTGGGTATTTCAGCTCCAGAAATTAACACACTACGGTATGCGTTAAACAACGCGAACAATGCGAACTTGGACTAACCAGTGTCGGGCCACAGTTGCTTAAATCTCGGAAGCATTTATCTACGCTTCCTATCCTGCTGTATACAACTGAAAGAGTTCATGATGAACACGATGCTCGATTAGAAGCAGCAGGGATATATCCGTCGGCTTAGTTAGTACTAACACGACATCGTGGTTTCTTCCTATCTTTACAGCCACCAATCTGAACAAGAAAGAGACGTGCCTAGTATAGGATGCGGCCGCCAAAGTTAAAGGCATGTAGCTGAAAGATTGTTTTCTGAAAGGTCCAGATACACTAGCATCTTTGATGGGCGTGCTAATAAGCTTCAGAGAGCGTCCTGTCGCCGTATCCGGCGACATAAGTGAAATGTTTCATCAGGTCAAGGTGCGCCGAGAAGACCAAGCGGCACAGAAGTTTCGCTGGCGTGATGGAGATTCGTCACGCTTCCCCGAAACGTTCGGAGCATCCTGTTCGCCAGCCCTAGCAAATTACGTCAAGAATCGCAATGCCGATCGGTTTGTAGCGGAGCATCCGGATGCCGTAAAGGCGATTTGCGAAAACACATTTTTCGACGACTGGCTGCAGTCGGCGGATGCAGCAGCCCAAATGATACAGTTAGCTGAGACTGTAAAAAGGATTCATGCTAGTGGCGGTTTCGAGAAGCGCCGCTGGACATCAAATTCGAAGCAAGTTATACAGCCGCTGGAAGACGACTGTAAGGAATTGGACAAGCGTATCAGCGCTCAGGATGAAGCGCAAGAGAAGGTCTTGGGCCTGTGGTGGCTACCTGGACAAGATCTGTTGACGTTTGTGGTGAAGCCGAACTTGCTTGCGAAGACTTCTAAGGAGCGCCCAACTAAAAGACGTGTTTTAAGTGTGATCATGTCTATTTTCGACCTGCGCCAAGATCATCCTTCAGAACATATGGCGATCCAACATCGGATGGGATGACGACTTCACCAACGAAGACGAAGCCGATTGGCAACACTGGCTTGATCTAGTTTCAAAGTTGAATGCCGTCCGCATTCCACGGTGTATGAAGTGGGTGAGCCGAACCCAGGCTGTGCAGATGCATACATTCGTGGACGCCAGTATGAATGCTTACGCCGCAGTTGTATTTTTTCGGGCTGAACTTGATGGCCAAGTACATTGCAGTTTGGCCGCCTCGAAAACGAGAGTAGCACCCTTGAAGCCCGTGTCCATACCTCGCGTGGAACTGATGGCCGCGGTCTTAGGTCTGAGACTGGCCAAATGTATCCAAAAGGAAATGTCGGTGCGCATACATAGACGAACATTCTGGACAGATTAAAAGGATGTGCTCTACTGGATCCGTTCTGATGCTCGAAAGTTCCAGCAATTCGTAGCGCTTCGGATCGGGGAGATTTTAGAAGAATCAGATGTGGACAGCTGGCGTTGGGTCCCATCGGCTCAAAACGTGGCCGACGATGGGACGAAATGGACTAAAGCGCCTGAAATTCATGCCTCAACCAGGTGGTTCAATAGACCACCATTTTTGTACCTAGAATAATCGCAGTGGCCACACACGGAAATAGGCCCTGCAATAAACATGTTGTACCATGCTGAAGAACCCAATCACACGTCGTCCTGGAGATGCATCCTGCCGGATCTGCAGCGTTTCAACAAGCTAGAAAAATTGAGAGCCGTACAGCTATGCGTACTGGATTTCCTACGGATTATTACTAAAAAGGTCAGATTGGACGGGGGACTGGATCTGCAGAAGACACTGCTCCTAAAACGAAGCAAAGAAATGGATGTGATTTTTATCCGGATATGCCAAAAAGAGGAGTTTAATAGTGAGATTACCTGCTCAAAGCCGGGGCGCCGCTTAACCGATCGCAAAAGCCTGCTGTTTAAGTGCTCCCCTTATACAGATGACTCGGGCATTCTACGTATTAAGGGAGGGATGGACAATATAGGAGTTGAAGTCTGCGTAAAACGTCCGATAATTCTGCCAAGACGACATCGATTGACGTATCTGCTGCTCCAATACTTGCCAGCGTGCCGCATACGACGCGCCCGCCCAAAGCCACCAGATATGGGCGACCTGCCAATCGAGCGATTGTCGCCCTATACTCCACCGTTCTCATATACTGGAGTGGATTACTTTGGTCCCTACGACATTGTCGTTGGACGGCGTCGCGAGAAGCGCTGGGGCGTGCTATTTACATGCCTCACGGTGCGCGCCGTTCACCTAGATATAGCTACGTCGCTCTCAACTGACTCATACTTATGCGTTCTGAAGTCATTCGTGACCAGACGCGGCTGCTCCCGCCGCATGCTGTCGGACAATG